TTATTTGGATAAGCTTAAATATTTTATACTTAAATACTATTACGCTAAAATTGAAAAGGAATATTAACATACAACGTTTCGAAGGATGATATTTAACGTTTATTTCTCATTTACGGTACAATATTTATAACTTATTTTTGTCTGTGGAATGTTATACGCTGTTATAATCGATACAGCTTAAGATTCATCGTAACGATACGAATACAATCTGGAGACACGGTAGTGTCTCGGCGCTAAGCCAAGCGCAGCGATACAAAGATTACACGTCGTATAGCGGGAAGGTCTCACTTTTTGAGCGCGTATATGTCACACTTTACTTTCCGCCTCGCGAAATCGATTTGATTCGTTACGAAAAGGCAAAAACAAATTAAAAGTAACTATTAAAGTGCCATTTCATGAGACGCTAAAAAGCATCATTAGTGTGGTCATGTGGTCTCAATTTATTGACGCTAGTATTGGATAAATCCAACTTCTAACGTCAGATCATTCAGTTCAAGATTGGACGTTATAACCCTTTTCACTTTCACTGTCTAATCGTCAATTTTGGTGACATAACCTATTTTGACTTATTTTGACATCGTCAAATGAACATCGAGCGTTAGCATGAAAAGGCACCTTAAATCCTAAAATAGCATCAGACGCGCGCACTTCTCAGCAGAGTTGGGCAATTTAGAGCAGCGAACAGTTTCTTACGTATAATACGTGTAACATATAGTATTATACGTATAAAAACCATGTATGATACATTATATTTAATACATGTCCAACCCTGCATCTCACTCTCAAGAAATCAACAAGAAAGAAATTATATATTTTTACATTTTTCTATTTTTACATTTTTTAAATTAATTGAGATATTTAATAGTAATCTTTAGGATAACTTCGGTAATAGACTTTCGGTCTTTTTATACTAGTTTATAAAAAAAAGATTTAATTTCTTTGATCTAGACAGGGTGTTTCTTATAGATTTTTGAATACCGAAAACGATGCGGCAAGTCAAATTTCAGCACGTTAAGTTTCTGAAATATGGTGTACAAAAAAGTTCTGAGCTTTAGATTTCATACAAACGAAATAACAATTTAAATTTTATATATCTTCCCGCCCTTTTGCGGTTTTAAAGCGTTAACATTTGGCCTTCTAAAATGCCATACGGTTTGGTGTTTGATGCACATAACCTCAAAAATCAGTAGTGTTCATGATGGCAATAACAAAAGAGCATATTCGATTTTCCGTCCACTTCGCGTTTCATCTGAAGAAAAATGCTGCTGAAGCCACTGTAATGATTTGTGCTGCATATGGAGAGAACGCTGTAAGTCATGCTACATGTAAAAGATGGTATCAAAAGTTTCGCCAAGGAGA